CCAGCCAGAGGAAAGAGGCTGAACACCGCGTGTGTGTCTGTGTTCATACTCTTTGACAATGGGAGGAGTTATCAGATCCTCCCATTTGGACCTCCTTGATTGGCAGCCCCAAATATCCCTAACACCTTAGACCTTAGCTTTCCCCAATCACTAGCTTATCCATAGTTTGCTAACATGAATAAATACAAATATAACTCTACAATATATATATATATATATATATATATATATGTAGTATATATATATATATATATATATATATATATATATGTAGTATATATATGTAGTATATATATATATATGTAGTATATATATCAGGGGCGGATCTACGGGGGGGCAAGGGGGGGCAGCTGCCTAAAACAAACAAAACTGTACTAAAACAAACCTACACTATTTCCACAAGCTTCTCAAGCAACAAAACAAACATTACATTAGTTAAAAGTGAATCATTTTAAATATCATTTTAGGCCCGTTAAAAACGCAGCTACGACCCTGCATTAAACTGCGGAGGGGTGTTCACACAGCCCGCGGCTCACACCGCTGCAGAGAGGGAGCGAGCTGTCCCAGCACCTATGGATCAGCTTCCCCTGGGAGCATTTCCCTTTCCACTAGTTTTGTTTTACTAAGGACGAGAGCTTGAAACTAAATATTAATAAAACGCTGCCGTTTGAATCGATAGCGTTTAACAGACGGGCGCTGTTTGGGGCGTTACGTTACAAAATACTACGCAGACAGCGTTAGCTGGGAGATCGATCACTTTGCTAAACTACGCGGTAGCCTACTATTAAATCCACGTAAACTACACATCACAGCCATGAGGCCAGATCAATGAAACCAGGATACATCCTTTACTGTAAAAAACTGGATCCAAACACAGCTGCCTGTGTGCGCTTGATCAATACTTTCTGATGTTATATTTATGATATGCTACATATTAGCTAGGCTACATGGCCCTAACGCGTAAAGTTATACAAGCATTTGTACCAGTGCTTTTCACAAGTAGACTCTTGCAGGCCAGAGTGTAGGAGTGATTCAACAACAACACAAAGACATCTGAGAAGTGATCAGGATGAACAGAAAGAGGAAAAGGAAAAGAGAGTTCACTGAAGAGACCAGGAGGGTCAGAGCAGGAGGAAGAGGAGGAGATGAAGAGACCAGGAGGCTCAGAGCAGGAGGAAGAGGAGGAGATGAAGAGACCAGGAGGGTCAGAGCATGAGGAAGAGGAGGAGATGAAGAGACCAGGAGGGTCAGAGCGGGAGGAAGAGGAGGAGATGAAGAGACCAGGAGGGTCAGAGCAGGAGGAAGAGGAGGAGATGAAGAGACCAGGAGGCTCAGAGCAGGAGGAAGAGGAGGAGATGAAGAGACCAAGAGGGTCAGAGCAGGAGGAAGAGGAGGAGATGAAGAGACCAGGAGGGTCAGAGCAGGAGGAAGAGGAGGAGATGAAGAGACCAGGAGGGTCATAGCAGGAGGAAGAGGAGGAGATGAAGACATTAGTGAAGAAGAATAAATGTATGTGAGGAATAAAGATGAAGTGTCAGAGAGAGGGCCAGAGGCAGGGATCAGGAGGCAGATGAAACTCCAGCTGGACCACATGGTATGTTCTTATTCTCCTTACATATTCCATTACAGCAGCTCAATCTAGCAGCTCTTAGTATTGACAAATATTGATTGAAATGTGTTGCTGCACAGGTCACCTGTAGCTCTCTGAAGAGATGGGTGATGTCATTTGTGTACTTAATTATAAATTGAAATGTTGAGCTTGTCAATCTTAATCTGAAAATACAAAAACTGAAATATAGGTACGAGAAGAAACTGACACTTTTGTGATGTAATTCCCTCAATGCAGATCACACATGGTCTGATCCACACATGGACTGATCCACACATGGACTGATCCACACACGGACTGATCCACACATGGACTGATCCACACATGGTCTGATCCACACACGGACTGATCCACACATGGACTGATCCACACATGGTCTGATCCACACACGGACTGATCCACACATGGTCTGATCCACACATGGACTGATCCACACATGGACTGATCCACACACGGACTGATCCACACATGGACTGATTCACACATGGACTGATCACACACGGACTGATCCACACACGGACTGATCCACACACGGACTGATCCACACACGGACTGATCCACACACGGACTGATCCACACACGGACTGATCCACACACGGACTGATCCACACACGGACTGATCCACTCACGGACTGATCCACACACGGACTGATCCACACACGGACTGATCCACACACGGACTGATCCACACATGGACTGATTCACACATGGACTGATCCACACACGGACTGATCCACACATGGACTGATTCACACATGGACTGATTCACTCATGGACTGATCCACACATGGACTGATCCACACACGGACTGATCCACACATGGACTGATCCACACATGGACTGATCCACTCATGGACTGATCCACTCATGGACTGATCCACACACGGACTGATCCACACACGGACTGATCCACACACGGACTGATCCACACATGGACTGATCCACACACGGACTGATCCACACATGGACTGATCCACACATGGACTGATCCACACATGGACTGATCCACACACGGACTGATCCACACACGGACTGATCCACACACGGACTGATCCACACACGGACTGATCCACACACGGACTGATCCACACACGGACTGATCCACACACGGACTGATCCACTCACGGACTGATCCACACACGGACTGATCCACACACGGACTGATCCACACATGGACTGATCCACACATGGACTGATCACACATGGACTGATCCACACACGGACTGATCCACACATGGACTGATTCACACATGGACTGATCCACACATGGACTGATTCACTCATGGACTGATCCACACATGGACTGATCCACACACGGACTGATCCACACATGGACTGATCCACTCATGGACTGATCCACTCATGGACTGATCCACTCATGGACTGATCCACACACGGACTGATCCACACACGGACTGATCCACACACGGACTGATCCACACATGGACTGATCCACACACGGACTGATCCACACATGGACTGATCCACACATGGACTGATCCACACATGGACTGATCCACACATGGACTGATCCACACATGGACTGATTCACACACGGACTGATCCACACACGGACTGATCCACACACGGACTGATCCACACACGGACTGATCCACACACGGACTGATCCACACACGGACTGATCCACACACGGACTGATCCACACATGGACTGATCCACTCACGGACTGATCCACACACGGACTGATCCACTCACGGACTGATCCACACACGGACTGATCCACACACGGACTGATCCACACACGGACTGATCCACACACGGACTGATCCACACATGGACTGATCCATTATTTTAATAGGAGGGTAAATGGTATGGCGTGACGGGATTTAAACAAACTGAGGGACAATATTGCAATTTCATAGATAATTCAAGTCTGTTTTCAGAATTGATTTTTGATCAGTTAAAGTTGACAAGCATGTGATTATATTAGCAGCAACATGTTGGGATAATTGGCCATTTTGATTTGTTTGATGTTAAATTAATATGTAATAATGCTTAGTGAGGACATGCAAATATGTCTGTCTAATACTAAGAAAACCAATTTTTGAAAAACTAAATATATATTTAGTTTGACATTATAATGCAAAAAAACCTTTCATTTAAAATGGTTGAGGTAAGCTTGGGGGACTGAAAGGGCACCCGATTGTTTGTCTGAACACCTTGTTTCTCTTGTGCATTAAGAACACTTGTGTTAGGGCATGAATTATACTATACAACATCAGGAAGATACGTCCCCAGCTGACTCAGAAAGCGACTCAGGTTCTGGTCCAGGCTCTCGTCATCTCACGCCTAGACTACTGCAACTCCCTCCTGGCTGGTCTACCTGCATGTGCCATCCGACCTCTGCAGCTCATCCAGAATGCAGCGGCTCGTCTGGTCTTCAACCTTCCTAAATGTTCCCACACCACTCCGCTCCTCCGCTCCCTTCACTGGCTTCCGGTAACTGCTAGAATCCACTTCAAGACACTGGTACTTGCTTACCATGCTGCGAATGGATCTGGCCCTTCGTACATCCAGGACATGGTTAAACCGTACACCCCAGCGCGTGCACTACGCTCTGCATCAGCCAAACGACTCGTTGCGCCCTCGCTGCGAGGGGGACCCAAGTTCCCATCGGCGAAAACACGTGGGTTTGCTGTCCTGGCTCCAAGATGGTGGAATGAGCTCCCCATTGACATCAGGACAGCAGATAGCTTACACACCTTCCAGACTGAAAACTCATCTCTTTCGACTCCACTTCGAGCGATAGAACGATTAACAAAGCACTTTTATACTAATAAAGGACTGGATTACCTAAAGCCAGTTGAGTAGCACTTGAAATGTTTGGCTCTATGAAACCTGATGTACTTTATGATTCTGTTTTCTTCAAGGTTGTGTCTTCCTGGTCGAATGTACTTATTGTAAGTCGCTTTGGATAAAAGCGTCAGCTAAATGCAATGTAATGTAATGTAATGTAATTAACAATAAATAGGTTATATACAGTATAAAATACCACGTACTGTCCGCCCTCCTATGCCACCCTGGCATGACCTCTTGCCCCCCCTTTGCCCCCCCATGTAAAATGTTCTAGAACCGCCACTGATATATATATATATAATAATATTAAGCTGACCACCAGACCTGCGGGAAAGAAGACGAATGAAACAGACGTGGTTCACTCGTGTTTAATGACAGTGAGATATTAATCTTACAAAGAGTGACGTGTATCAGAATAAAGTTTCTTAAGTACATGTGCTTTAAATATCTGTCCTTCAGTAACTGAGATAGAATACATCATTCATAATAACCAGTTCTTACCATCAGATTAAATATCTGTTCAGTTTAAAACTGTGACATCGCTGCAGGTTTCTCATTTCATCAGGTACTGCAGTACTTTGTAATACTTGGAGTATATTCTGTTGAAGAGCACTTCAAACTGGAATGTGTTTGTTTACAGGAGCTGGAATAAAGAGCTGCTTTTCCCTCTATTACGACAGCGTGGTCTGGGGGTAGGGGCATCTTTATGTCCAGCTCCCAGTCCTCCTCATCATCCTCATCATCCTCATCATCCTCCAACAGAGTACATCAGACCCCCCCCCCACACCCCAGCTCTGTTTAAAACATCTGCTCTTCTCTTAATAAAGTCTCTATAAAGACAGAGTTGTCTGCATGGGGGGGGGATGGCGACAAGCGTCCATCTTTCTGCCCACCCCCTCCTCATCATCATCAGAAGTTCATCAAAGGTCCGGATCAGCGGTCCGGATCGAGGTCCTCGTACAGCAGGGAGCCGCTGAAGACGGTGAGCGGCTCCACAGAGTGGGCCAGCCTCCCCGTCACCAGGTCCACGCACACCGTGTCCTGGCTCTGCAGCGGCAGGATGAGGCTGAACACGGCCAGCGACCCGGGGGGGGTTCTGGTCTCGGCCACTGGGTTGTTCTCCAGGCCTTCGGGCTGGTAGCCTCCTGAGTCCACCCGGGCCATGCCGTAGTTGGACTTGGACAGAACCGCCTCAATCTTCTCGTTCTTATAACCCGTCAAGACGGCGCTGAAGAAGTAGTGTCCGTCTACGGGGGCCGTGAACACACCTGGGGGGGGGGGCACACAGAGTTAATGGTGTTAGCACACAGAACACATTGGCAACAGCTGTTTCATAATGGTGAATCTCTCAGACAAATAAGACATGAATTCAAACTTCCTCAAACTGATTTTTATAGATACAAGTTTCTAACAAAAGTTAAAAAGCGCTCTCAAATTGAGCTTTTTCTCAAAGAGATCCATAATAGTAAGAAAATAATCTCCAAATCATCATATGTTCTTCTATGGACTCCAATAACACCCTACATGTAAAAAACAAGTGGGGACTGAAAAAGGTACAACCATCATTCCTGAACCCTTGGAGCAGGTGTGTGAAGGAGCACACTTAGTGACCAGAGAGTTTACATGGAAAGTTATAACAAGATATTTCAGAACCCCACAAGTGACCGATGGAATCAAACAGGCTCGGATAAATGCTGGAGGAAATGATCACACCCAGATTCTGTGGTCCTGCCCCAACTGAGTGAAAACTGGAAGGATGTATTCCTCTCAAGGAAGTTTTTCAGTACAAAGTCAGACAACAGTATGTGGAGAAACAGTGATAGCGTTCAGCGGGAGAACCTGCAGCAGAACCTGCTGAGTCATGTTTACCTGTCTTCGGGTCGTAGAAATCTCCTTCGTTGACAAAGGTCTTATCAAAGACGATGGTTCCGGCTCGCTCCATGGGAACCGTAAGAGCAGCGGAGAACGCCAGTCTGGGAACGTGAGCGTCACCCCCGGGACGTCCTGAACAAACAAACAGGAAACACATCAAGGTTACAGATTATTCTGTTTCCATGGTTACTGCTGTTGCTAATGATGTTAGCACACAGAGACCCTGCCAAAAACAGGACATATAAAGTATATTTCTATAACATATCTGGCCTACCATGAGACCCTGTCTCTCCAGGTTGTCCTGGAGGTCCCAGAGGCCCTCGGGGACCCGGCAGCCCGTTAAAGCCTCTCTCTCCGGAGGGTCCTGGGGATCCTTGGGGTCCTGGCAGGCCTGTGGATGATATGAACTGTTGATTAAAAAACGATGTCTCATTGGAGGGACTCTTTAAGATGTTCCTCTCGGTTCCTTCAGTAACTGAAGGTGGACAGTCATCAGGACGCTCAGCAGCTGCAGCAAACCACAGAGAGAAGCACAGAAACAGACGCTTACTATTCAGGTCTCGCTCGGAGGAGGTCTGCATCTCCTTGAAGACCTGGTTCACGCTCGAGTTCAGGTTCTTCATCCTGCTGTAGACATCCTCCTGGTTCTTCTGAATGTAGTCCAAGATTCCTCCGTGATGGACCACTGACTCATTCAGACCAGAAACACACGTCCACAAGCTGGAGACATGTCGGTTCAGACCTGAACGCAACACGGCAAAACAAGGAGAACAACACGTCAAAACACGTCAACACACGAGACACGTCAACACACGAGACACGTCAACACACGAGACACGACACGACAACACACGAGACACGTCACATCAACACACGAGACACGACAACACACGAGACACGACACGACAACACACGAGACACGTCACATCAACACACGAGACACGACACGACAACACACGAGACACGACACGACAACACACGAGACACGACACGACAACACACGAGACACGACAACACACGAGACACGTCAACACACGAGACACGACACGTCAACACACGAGACACGACACGACAACACACGAGACACGTCAACACACAAGACACGACACGACAACACACGAGACACGACACGACAACACACGAGACACGACACGACAACACACGAGACACGTCAACACACAAGACACGACACGACAACACACGAGACACGTCAACACACGAGACACGACACGACAACACACGAGACACGACAACACACGAGACACGTCAACACACGAGACACGACACGTCAACACACGAGACACGTCAACACACGAGACACGTCAACACACGAGACACGACACGACAACACATGAGACACGTCACATCAACACACGAGACACGACACGACAACACACGAGACACGACAACACACGAGACACGACACGACAACACACGAGACACGTCAACACACGAGACACGTCAACACACGAGACACGACACGACAACACACGAGACACGACAACACACGAGACACGACAACACACGAGACACGACAACACACAAGACACGACACGACAACACACGGAGACACGACACGACAACACACGAGACACGACACGACAACACACGAGACACGTCAACACACAAGACACGACACGACAACACACGAGACACGTCAACACACGATACACGACACGACAACACACGAGACACGACAACACACGAGACACGTCAACACACGAGACACGACACGTCAACACACGAGACACGACACGACAACACACGAGACACGACACGTCAACACACGAGACACGACAACACACGAGACACGACAACACACGAGACACAACACGTCAACACACGAGACACGTCAACACACGAGACACGTCACGACAACACACGAGACACGACACGACAACACACGAGACACGACACGTCAACACACGAGACACGTCACGACAACACACGAGACACGACAACACACGAGACACAACAACACACGAGACACGACACGACAACACACGAGACACGACACGACAACACACGAGACACGTCAACACACGAGACACGACACGACAACACACGAGACACGTCACATCAACACACGAGACACGACACGACAACACACGAGACACGACACGACAACACACGAGACACGACACGACAACACACGAGACACGTCAACACACGAGACACGACACGTCAACACACGAGACACGTCACGACAACACACGAGACACGACAACACACGAGACACGACAACACACGAGACACGACACGACAACACACGAGACACGACACGTCAACACACGAGACACGACACGACAACACACGAGACACGACACGACAACACACGAGACACGTCACGACAACACACGAGACACGACACGACAACACACGAGACACGTCACGACAACACACGAGACACGACACGACAACACACGAGACACGACACGACAACACACGAGACACGTCACGTCAACACACGAGACGACAACACACGAGACACGTCAACACACGAGACACGACACGACAACACACGAGACACGACACGTCAACACACGAGACACGACAACACACGAGACACGACACGTCAACACACAAGACACGACAACACACGAGACACGACACGACAACACACGAGACACGTCAACACACGAGACACGACACGTCAACACACGAGACACGTCACGACAACACACGAGACACGACAACACACGAGACACGACAACACACGAGACACGACACGACAACACACGAGACCACGAACCCGTCAACACCCCGAGGACACGCACACGACAACACACGAGACACGACACGACAACACACGAGACACGTCACGACAACACACGAGACACGACACACAACACACGAGACACGTCACGACAACACACGAGACACGACACGACAACACACGAGACACGACACGACAACACACGAGACACGTCACGTCAACACACGAGACGACAACACACGAGACACGTCAACACACGAGACACGACACGACAACACACGAGACACGACACGTCAACACACGAGACACGACAACACACGAGACACGACACGTCAACACACAAGACACGACAACACACGAGACACGACAACACACGAGACACGACAACACACGAGACACGACAACACACGAGACACGTCAACACACGAGACACGACACGACAACACACGAGACACGTCAACACACGAGACACGTCAACACACGAGACACGACACGTCAACACACGAGACACGACACGTCAACACACGAGACACGTCACGTCAACACACGAGACACGTCAACACACGAGACACGACACGACAACACACGAGACACGACACGTCAACACACGAGACACGTCAAACACGACACGACACGTCAACACACGAGACACGACACGTCAACACACGAGACACGTCACGTCAACACACGAGACACGACAACACACGAGACACGACACGTCAACACACAAGACACGACAACACACGAGACACGACAACACACGAGACACGACAACACACGAGACACGACAACACACGAGACACGTCAACACACAAGACACGACAACACACGAGACACGACAACACACGAGACACGACAACACACGAGACACGTCAACACACAAGACACGCGGGGGACAGAGGTTAACGGTTAAAGGGTGAGGAAGATCAGATAAAGCACACGGGACAGGTTAAAGGAGATAAAGCACCGTCACCTTCCTTGATGTTCCGGACGGACACGGAGACGCCGTCCAGCCGGCTGCAGACGCCCTCCAGCTTGGACAGCCTCTTCTCCAGCCCGTCTCCGGACCTCCTGCAGTCGCCCACTTCCACCAGTAGGGTGCTGTCGACCCGCCGGACGTCCTGCTCCGCGCCCTGCAGGCGGACCTGGCTCTCCTCGATGTGCTCCCTCACCTCCTGCTGGATCTTGTCCAGCTCGGAGATGATCTTGTCCTTTGTGTTTCCTGTCAGAGGATCAGAGTCAGGTGTATTACCAGTGTTACCAGTTTGACTTGGTGTCAAGGTGCAGACATAAAAGTAAAACAGAAATTAAAAATACAGAGAGAGAACTATATTAAAAAATGTTTTTATAAAAGATATAGCTAACTTTAGCAGTATTAGGGTTAGCAGCAGAGAGTGGGCTTCACCAGACTCACCGAGGTCTGTGAGGACGCTGCCGTGCTTCTGCACCGTGTGCTGGAGCCCCTTCAGGGAGGCGTTGATGGAGCGGAAGGTCAGGACGGCCTCCGTCAGCTCCGCCTGCAGCGTCTTCAGCTGGTTGTTGTTGACCGAGCCTCCGATCACACTGTGGCCATCTAAAGGCTTCTCAGCACTCAACCCGGGTCTGATGGAGCCACCAGAACCTCCAGAACCTCCAGAACCTCCGGAACCACCAGAACCACCACCTTTTGGGAGTTTTAGTTTGACAATAAACTCATATTTTGAGGAAATGTTCAGAGATATTAAAAGCACCTGAATATGTCTCCTAGCCACCGAAATAACCGAGAACCAACAGAAAACTACTACTGGTTTTCCTCACAGCCGATCAAAGCGTTCTTTGATTCGTTGCGATATGGGATTGAGCGTGGTATAAATTACGTAAAACCTCTCTACATGATAAGGAGGGGTTCTGAGTTTTCATTATTTTTGGACATGAATACGAATGTATGTATTCGGTCTGAAACCGTCTTTGTAAACGGGTAAGCAAGAGTAACTTTGGGGAAGGGGTTCAAAGAGCTCTCTTGTGATTGGCTGACCTGTGGTCGTACCCGGACAGCTGCACCTCCTGACGTCGTCCCACAGCATCCGGACATCGTCCTCCAGTTGTGAACACATCTGGGAGCATCCTTCTCTGCCGGAGTCCAGCCGGGTCTGCAGTCTGTTGATGTGGATCTGCATAAGCCCCAGTGCATCCTGGGAATGGTTCTTCAGTCGTCGCAGCTCATCCTCCACCTTCCCGCACAGCACGCAGTCGTGGCCCAGCATCTCCACCTCCGTCACGATGCGGTTGAAGTTCTCGCCGTGATCCCCGGTCAGAGCCTTGATCTGATGAACATCATGGGTCAGGTCCACAACCTCGGGGAGGAAAAACGTTTATGATCATCACAGCGACAGCATACTGATAGACCATCATCATCACCACCATCAGACTCGTGACCTCACCTTGTTCTGCAGAGAGTCTCCAGACACCGACAGGTCTTTGAGTTCTGTGTTGAAGTGTCGGATCTGATCCTCGTTGGCGACGACTCTCCACTCCAAAGACTTCTCTGTGGTCCTTCCTCCTCCTGTGGATCCTCCTCCTGTAGATCCACCTCCTGTCCCAGATAGTCCTCCTCCTGTAGATCCTCCTCCTGTGGATCCTCCTCCTGTCCCAGATAGTCCTCCTCCTGTAGATCCTCTTCCTGTGGATCCTCCTCCTGTAGATCCACCTCCTGTCCCAGATAGTCCTCCTCCTGTAGATCCTCCTCCTGTGGATCCTCCTCCTGTCCCAGATAGTCCTCCTCCTGTAGATCCTCCTCCTGTGGATCCTCCTCCTGTCCCAGATAGTCCTCCTCCTGTAGATCCTCCTCCTGTGGATCCTCCTCCTGTCCCAGATAGTCCTCCTCCTGTAGATCCTCCTCCTGTGGATCCTCCTCCTGTCCCAGATAGTCCTCCTCCTGTAGATCCTCCTCCTGTGGATCCTCCTCCTGTAGATCCTCCTCCTGTGGATCCTCCTCCTGTCCCAGATAGTCCTCCTCCTGTAGATCCTCCTCCTGTGGATCCTCCTCCTGTAGATCCTCCTTCTCCTGTGGATCCTCCTCCTGTTGATCCTCCTCCTGTCCCAGATAGTCCTCCTCCTGTGGATCCTCCTCCTGTGGATCCTCCTCCTGTGGATCCTCCTTCTCCTGTGGATCCTCCTCCTGTTGATCCACCTCCTGTCCCAGATAGTCCTCCTCCTGTGGATCCTCCTCCTGTAGATCCTCCTCCTGTGGATCCTCCTCCTGTCCCAGATAGTCCTCCTCCTGTGGATCCTCCTCCTGTGGATCCTCCTCCTGTGGATCCTCCTTCTCCTGTGGATCCTTCTCCTCTAGATCCTCCACAGCTGCAGTCCTCCAGCCTCCGGGTCGTGGTGTTCATGATGTTCTCCAGGTTCCTCAGCCTCTGGTCTTGGTGGCTCAGCTGGTCCTTCTGCAGCCCCACATCCAGCTCCACGTCTGAGACCCTGAAGGCCTGGTCATCAAACCGGTCAAGGAACACGGTCCTCAGGTCTCCGAGTTCTCTGTGGAAGTATTCCTTCAGGTGGTTGTCCAGGTTATCAGTCCTCTGCACGGTGCTGTTGACCCACCGCTCCAGGTCCTTCAGCCGGTGGTCCAGTCGACCCTCCGTCACAACTACCCCCCGGTCCCCAACCCCTGATCCCCCGCCTTCCCCTGATCTTCTGCTTCCGCCGTCCACAGTGTTGCCTCCCCCCCTGCTGAGGTCCTTGTCCAGCCTGGTCTGTAGAAGGTCCAGGTTCTCGGAGGCCGAACTGATCTTCCGCTCAGCGTCAGAGACCCGGTCTCGGAGGTGGTTCATGGTGTCGCAGCACCCCCGCAGTCGCACCACTTCGCGTTGCAGCCCGTCCAGGTTCTGGCGGTACCGAGAGTCCGTGTCACTGAGCTTCTTCTCCAGAGCTGCGATGCGCTCGCGGCCCTCCCTCTGCTGTCGGCGCAGATCCTCCACACCGGCCTGAAAAACAGGGTTCATGGTTTGATTTGAATGTTTCATTGGTACTGGATGGATGGCTCCTTAACGGAGGACTGATACCTGACAGGAGGAGCAGGACAGCGAAACCCTCCTCTCCAGCTCCTGGAGGATCTCTGCTTTCAGGGAGTCCATCTTCCACCCGCTCAGACCCCCTCCGGACGGACCGGCCCCCAGCTCGTCTCCCTTCCCGTTCACCAGGTGGTTGTTGATGCTGACCAGCGTTTTATCATGAGCCTGTTGGAGCAAACACACTTTAGACCAGATCCAGTACAGTGCCATCTCTGCTCCTCCTAGTCTGCAGGACCTCTTTAAATATTGAGCTACATTAAGTGGATCTGTCTTTGCTTCATTAGCTGTAATACAGTTTATCGTATTATCGTATCGTATTAAATCAGTGATGGCTTCCAATATAAAGAGCCTTGCTGACTCGCCTGTGTGCGGTTGTCCAGCTGGTCCAGTTTGGTCTGGATGCTGTGGATGGTCTCTTTAATCTCCGGCTGAGCGGCATCCGCCGGGTTCCTCCCGCCTGAAGAAGAACCTCCTGAAGAAGAACCTCCTGAAGAGGAACCTCCTGAAGAAGAACCTCCTGAAGAGGAACCTCCTGAAGAAGGACCTCCTGAAGAAGGACCTCCTGAAGAAGGACCTCCTGAAGAGGAACCTCCTGAAGAAGGACCTCCTGAAGAAGAACCTCCTGAAGTGGAACCTCCTGAAGAGGAACCTCCTGAAGAAGGACCTCCTGAAGAAGAACCTCCTGAAGAGGAACCTCCTGAAGAAGGATCTCCTGAAGAAGGACCTCCTGAAGAAGAACCTCCTGAAGAGGAACCTCCTGAAGAAGGACCTCCTGAAGAGGAACCTCCTGAAGAAGAACCTCCTGAAGAGGAACCTCCTGAAGAAGAACCTCCTGAAGAGGAACCTCCTGAAGAAGAACCTCCTGAAGAAGAACCTCCTGAAGAGGAACCTCCTGAAGAAGAACCTCCTGAAGAAGAACCTCCTCCGGTGTTCAGGCTGGCCTGGAGGTCCTGCAGGTTTTTGTTCAGACTCTGGATCCTCTCCTCGAGCTGTCTCATCCTCTCATCCTCTACCCGACCTGAGAGAACAGGAAGTAGATCATGAATGGCCTGCTGATACCCGACGCTTACTGATGTGTTTCTGCTTTCTGTTTCTTTTAATCATCATGCTATTTTTAGGCATATATTAGGGCTCTCAGATATATACAAATATATAAAAAACACGTCTATGATGTGTTTTGCTCAAAATACCAAACAGATCATGCATTTTAGAAATCCCTCATATCTCTCTGTGTCAGCCTGTTATGCCCCTTTCACACCAAGGCTTTTCCCGTTCAAGCTCTGTGCTAGAGCTTTTCTGGTTCGGAACCGGTTCTTCGGTTCAGCTCCCGCTCTGTTCACACCGCTCAGAGCCCGACTGGTGCTGCGTCATTGCGTCATCGTTTGCGTCATGACGTAACCGTTTGCGTGCCTGCTTCATAAAGCCAAACCGCGCGGAAACCCCTCACATCGACAACAACAACAATGACCGATTGTATTGAAGCGCTACTCGTTTTGCCCTGTCGAAATGAAATAGAAGAAATGGGACGACTTTACTACCAACTTTACAGTCGTTACATGCTACATTCAAAAGTTCTTTACAATCATCATCAACTTCAACGACGATTCCGTAGGAGAAAGAAGTTAAATATACGTCCTATTCAACGGCGTTAGAGCTAGCTGTTGTTAGCCTCTGCATGCGCCAAGCTCAAAATACCCGGCTTTGCAGCATTAATGACTTTGGTATAACATTACAACTGATGCCCCTGCCCCCGCCTCCGACGTAAGCGTGACGTATGCGGTGCTTGCTTTCTAGACCGACACATTTTTGGTGCTTGAAACGAACCGGATTCCGGAGCTAAGAGGCGGCTCTGCTGCTGTGCTTTTCAAGCTCCAGCTCCGAACCGGCCCTGGTGTAAAAGGGGCATTAGAGAAACGCTGATTTTGTGACTGTGGCTGCTGGCCCCGCCCCTTTTTGAGCATGGCCAGGCAAGCAGTGAGCTTTACTACAAGGTGAGTTCCTCTTTTTATTTCCTGCTTCTTTACACGGGTGATTTCTGAATCGGGTGCCCTTTGTGTTAAAGATTTTAAACGAAAGGAAACTACAACATGTATTTTAAAGCACTGAATTAAAGGAACAGTGTGTTTTGCATTACAATGTAAAACTACATATATATATTTTGTTTTTGTTTTATAATAATTAGTTGTCGTTGTAGTAGACAACACACATTTTAGCATGTCCTCACTGAGCATCATCACATATTCATTGAATATTAAACAAATAACAATTGCCAATTATACCAACATTTTGATGCTAATATAATGCGTTTGAACTTTATCTGAGAAAAGTCTGAAAAATACATGAATTATCTATGAAATTGCACTTTTGACACTCGTCCCCCAGTTTGTTTCAACCCCGTCACGCTATACATTTTACACCCCTATTAAAATAATGGATCAGTCCATGTGACATCTGCATTGAGGGAGTGACAGTATCTTTTCTTACCTATATTTCATTTTCTATTTTTTGTATGAATTACTTATAGTAAACAATTATTTAGGAAAATTAAACAATAGTTTTGCAAATTATTACAATTTTATGATGTCCTTAAATTCCATGTGGTGCTGTCTTAGCTAAACAAGAGCCGCTTTCACACCAAGTACTTCGCCGGCACTTAGTGCTCCGGCACTTATTACCCCAGGGCACTACGTACCAATCGCGTTCACACCGGAGTACTTTTCCCTGAGGGAAGATTACGCAAATGAGCCGCTGACATCACTTCTTCTTCTTCTGCTTTGGGTTTACTGGCAGGCCGCAAACCACTTCACGGCGTACACTGCTATACTATAAGTCCCCGGCCGGAAGTCCCCGGAGTTGGGGAAGGCTTCAGTCGAAGCTGCTGGGACTCCCAGCAGCTTCTACTGAAGCCTTCAGAGTAAATCGCCAGAACGCCGACACCTCCTCATCTCCACCGCTCCCATGTTTTATTTTGTGTTGCCATAAGTTATTCTCTCCCCGTTGGTGCGCGGGGCTAATGCTAATGCTAATAATGTTAATGCCAGCAAATACAATGGCGGCTTCAAAAAACTTTTCAGAGTTTTACGGGGCGTGGTTTGCAATTCGCCCAGCCAATAGAAATTGGTACTTTTTTGGTACCACCTCTCAGCAGGCACTAAACATGGGGGTAAACGTTCCCGGCACTAAGTACTCTTTTTGGTGTGAATGCAACATAAGGGGTACTAACGGAACTAAACGGGAAAAGTACAGGGAAAAGTACTCCGGTGTGAACGCGCCTAAGGTCTCATGGCTACTTTATGCCAAAAAACTTCAACCCGTCACATTTTTCAAGGAAAGTCCTGGTAATTATTTATATTTTGTGCTTGAGGTGGGAAAATGTGTTTTCTCAAAGTTTTAAGTAGTCCACTACCAGATGTTACGATACAAATCTCTCCAGTACAGGTTAGCTCTGAGTGTTAGCGATGCTAAAGTAAACAGCAGAACACGTGGTCCAAAGAGAGAGGGTTTTGGGTTCTGCCACTTGGTGAGTCTCCTGAATCTCCGGGGACACGTCTTTTCATGATAGGAGACCTTTAATACAATACTACAAACACACGTGGATAATCATTAGACTAATGTGATCCCCTCACCAGCGTGTCCTCCGGTGGGTCTGGATTTAGATCCCGCCCCCCCGCCCGGTGACGGTCCTGATCCCGGACCCTCGCCACAGTCCAACCCACTGTAACCATGGCAACACTTCCACTCCAGTGCCGTGGCCATCTTGTAGGCGACTTTGTACCGCGGCCTCATGAAGGTACGGTACCTGCAAAGAGGGAAGACATGCTGGATGTGTGTGTGTGTGTGTGTGTGTGCGTGTGTGTGTGTGTGTCTGTACTCACAGCACTGCCCTGCTGCACTGCCCCCCCCACCCACAGGGATGATACTCTGGCTTCACGTAGGTCTCCACTCCGTCCTCCACCACACAGCTCACCGTCTTAGTCACCACGAACGCACACCAGTTCCTGTTACACACACACACACACACACACACACACACACACACACACACACACACACACACACACACACACACACACACGCACACACACGCACACACAAACACACACACAAACACACACACGCACACACAAACACACACACACACACACACGCACACCATCAGGTGTCTGGGTGATGTTGCAGCTTCATAAACACCCACAGGTCTCCTGAGGGCAGTTCTGAACACATGTAGTGTACTGTGATACACTTAGAGGGCAGAGAGGATGAAGAAGATGCCTGTGAAAGTACAACACACACACACACAGCCTGTCTCGGGGTGGGCTAAGGTCAGACTGAGCGTGTGCAGATGTTTTCCAGATGTTTCCAGAATCAGATGATGCTTCAGATATTTCAGAACAAACTGTGTCTTTAAAAATATGAAATGTGTAAACTCTGAGGCTTTTATTTTGAAAGAGCACTTCCTGCCACATGTGTCATGTTGTCTCACTGTTTGAGCTGCACGTGTGTCCTGTGTGCTGAAATCACTTTATACATGAACACAGTCTGGAAGTGTGTGTTCAGTCTCAGCTCTGGTATCATATCTCATCTACTCAATGAAATGTCTTTCCCTTACACACGTGTCCCACAGTCATGGCTCGGCCATGTCAAGTAAATACAGTGGGTTTTTTCTGGAAGCTTCTGTAACTCATTTCTTTCATTGAGGTCTTTGAATCCAACACACCATCAGCCAATCAGAGAGCAGGAGATCATCAATGTGTTAAAGGATTTTCTAACATATGTACTCTTCAAACTGAGTCTACTGGGAGATCACACACACACACACACACACACACACACACACACACACACACACACACACACACACACACACATATACAATGTCACTATTTTAACAGGAAATGAGTCATTTGGGCGTTTGTTTCAATTTGCTGCTCTAGTGCTTGACAGTGTGTGTGTGTGTGTGTGTCTGTGTGTGTGTGTGTTTATCTCCTGATGTAGTACAGTCCTGCCACAGTGTGTGACATACACACTGTGGCAGGACTGTACTACATCAGGACTCAGTGACCCTTCACCTCTGACAAACGTCAGGGTTATATTGTGATGGTCTTATATAAACAATGATAGGATTCATCAGGACTCACTGACACTGTCCTCCGTGTTTATGATGTCATAAAAGTGCGTCTGACGTGGGGTGACTACAGTCGTCTGCACGACTACGGTCGTCTGCACGACTACGGTCGTCTGCACGACTACGGTCGTCTGCACGACTACGGTAAGATCATCCTGAAGCGCCGACACCATCATGAAGTCGAGAGAAAGTCTGTTGATCTTCTTTTTAATTATTGTGTTATTATTTTACTCTCATGGTGTTATTCTATTCCCTGTCCCGTTGGTCAGCTGGACCTGTTTCAGCTGGACCTGTTTCAGCTGGACCTGTTTTAGCTGGACCTGTTTCAGCTGGACCTGTTTCAGCTGGACCTGTTTTAGCTGGACCTGTTTCAGCTGGACCTGTTTCAGCTGGACCTGTTTCAGCTGGACCTGTTTCAGCTGGACCTGTTTCTGCTGGACCTGTTTCTGCTGGACCTGTTTCAGCTGGACCTGTTTCTGCTGGACCTGTTTCAGCTGGACCTGTTTTCTGCTGGACCTGTTTCAGCTGGACCTGTTTCAGCTGGACCTGTTTTAGCTGGACCTGTTTCAGCTGGACCTGTTTCAGCTGGACCTGTTTCAGCTGGACCTGTTTCAGCTGGACCTGTTTCAGCTGGACCTGTTTCTGCTGGACCTGTTTCAGCTGGACCTGTTTCAGCTGGACCTGTTTCAGCTGGACCTGTTTCAGCTGGACCTGTTTCTGCTGGACCTGTTTCAGCTGGACCTGTTTCTGCTGGACCTGTTTCTGCTGGACCTGTTTCTGCTGGACCTGTTTCTGCTGGACCTGTTTCAGCTGGACCTGTTTCAGCTGGACCTGTTTCAGCTGGACCTGTTTCAGCTGGACCTGTTTCAGCTGGACCTGTTTCAGCTGGACCTGTTTTCAGCTGGACC